GAGAGGATGCATATCGATCTAGCTTCACCAGCGTCACCAGCGGCACGCTGGCGTACGCTAGCGTACGCCAGCGGCACGCTAGCGCACGCTGGCGTAGCGAGGGCACGGGAAGCATAGCTATCGATCTAGCTTCACCAGCGTTTCTCGAGCGTTTCTCCAGCGGCACCAGCGTTTTGCTAGCGCTTGCAGCGGCAGGGAGTAGAGACTATGTGGCCGTGAGAGACGCGGAATCGACGTGTATTGTAGAGACCATGTGGCCGTCGGAGACGCAGAAGCGATGTGCATTGTAGAGACTATGTGGCCGTCGGAGACGCAGAAGCGATGTGCATTGTAGAGACTAAGGCGAGTGAGGACGCGCAATCGATGTGTACGTGTATCCCTCAGTCCCTACTCTCGTCCCCATATCGTGACCCGCGCACGCGCAAAGCTAGGCAAAAGCCTGGGTGAAACGCATGGGAGAAACGGCTGGGCGTACGCTAGCGCTGCCGCTGGTTGACGACTAGTGAAAGCTAGCATCGATATGCATGCCTCTCTTCGGACTTGCCCTGGCGTACGGCTGGGAAGCGGCTAGCGCTACGCTGGGCGCACAGTATAAACGCAGCCTAATACGCCCCATAATGCGCAGGAAGGAGCGCAGCGTTCGCGAATGCATCTCGCGCATGTGGATGATGCGTTTTGGAGAGCAGAGAATGGTGTACAGAGAGGTTGGACAAGTGGACGTCACGGAGGAAACGGACAGGACAATCGCAATTTTTGCCGCCTCGCCATGCGCTGCATATCGTGCGGCGTTGCGCGGCAGATCCTCGGTGCGCATCACTGGGTGGATTGAAGCAGCGGCTCCTAAGAACAAAAGGCGAGCTTCATGACGATACTTACTATTAGTATAGCCGTTAGACGGCGGTTGACCTTGAGCGAGCGGGTCCACATCTTTTCCCATTCCTCTGGTGACTGCTTGTCCTGTGCATTAAGAAGTAACTGGTCATAAAGCATTGTTGCGGATAGGCCAGAGATCTTGCCACGCCGCCAGACGAGGGCGCTCCGGCGGTCGTTTCTTATCACGTCGGGTCCATCGTCTCGTTCGCAGAGCATCCACCTTTCCCGTCATATCTCCTCATCAGCATCGCGGCAAAACTCGATGCCTTTGCTTCCTCAACGTGAGCACGAATGTCGCCTATCTTCGAATTGGCCCTGTCCGTCTGAGTTGATGAGATTTACGTTGAACGGACTCAGCGTCAGGCCCTACTCGGCGGCGCTCAGTGATGACCTCCATGATGAGCATTATGAACTTCCCTTGCCCTTCAACAGTCAGTCTCGACAACGACCCAAGCAGGATAATGTCATCGGACGCCAAGCCCTCTGGCATGGGATACTACGATTGTCTTGACACATGCCCATTAGACAAAACTAGTAACATCAATCATGTCTCCAAATGTTTTCTATATGCTATCTTCACGGATTTGCATGCTATGAATCCCGTTTGAAGGAACACTCGACTTACAGTGACATTCTGCAATACAAACAACACGCTAGTTGTGAGTATCGGTCTTAATTGAAAGAGTTAGTATTTATGGTACAGGTGCTATTTACAGAAGCAAATTATACAACAATCCTTAAATTCACGAGAAAATAGGGCCACTGGGCTGCAAAAAAATGAATCTAATTGTAATAGGAAGTGAATGATGAAAGGCCATACGTCTTTTGAGATCAGAAGAGATCTAAAAGGTCTAAGAACGCACAATCACCAACCAGATTTCTAGCTGTTGTCGTATTCAATTGGTTCATCGCAGTCAGCGAAAGTGAACATTATTGGATTCCCGTCTTTATCAAGCTAAAACCAACAAATATATAGTGTAACGAATTGAGAACGGGCGCTTACCTTTACAGGAACATCGAGATTTATAGGGCCTACTGCTTTACTCATTCTATCTCTTTCTTCTTCAGTTAAACGTGATTTCACATGTAGAAATTCTATTTTTCGCAAGAACTCCTCGGCCTCGCGCTGTAGAAACGAAACAGAAACATAGTTAATATGGCTAAATATCGCAAAAGTATCCCGGTAAATGGTACCAATCTCACCTTCACTTCAGCCGTAGAGGTGCTCGAAACGAGATGACTGACCACAGACATGAAGTCACGATAAATGACTTCATCCTCCAAAAATGGTGCAAAATATGGTAACGAATCGCGCATCTGAAATCTCGGAGAGACAAGATGGAACTCCACGTGGTGAGGCTGCATTAGACTTCGCGACGACGCGCAGGACGTGCTGCCGTTACAATCGCGTACCAGTGATAAAGATAGAAACGTAGCCATGAAAAGGTATCGATCAGGTAACGGCCTCAGGTTTACTGGAGAGTACAGGAGATCAGGACGATGCCATACACTGTGATTAGGCCCCAATGTAATGGAAAGGCCAGTAAGCCGCGGAACACTGACACTGCTGTTTTATAACTCCTTTTCACACAGTTTGGTACCCTCCTATTCTTCTGTACTCTCCATAGACACCAGTTTCCAGCACAGATCGGTTTCTATAGCAATGGAGCGCAACTGCAACGGTTGGGTGCCAGCGAGGTCATGGCGAAGTCTCAACGCAGCCTGACCTGCCAAAGGACTTACATGAAAAATTATATACTATAAATTATATATACTCGAAATCCCTGAGATCGGGTAGGCGTGGCTGCATGTTTCAACTTAACCTGAAGGTGTCTATGCTTCTGGTGAGATATTTTCATCTTGACACAATTGTTGTCGTGTCTCTGTCCAACACAGAACAAGATGACAGTTGTCCCAGACTGGAATATTCCACGAGTAACCAGTTCCGTGCCATGTTCGAATGCCACGCCTACCCTGGCTCAGGGATAGGAAGTGTACTTATGTGAATAAGGACGATGCAAAGAAAATTGCAAAAATCCGAGCCACGGATTAGCGCGCGAACCTAATATTACTAGCTAGCTGCACCTCGCCGTGAAATCGATTAGGTCACACAGGTCAACGTCCTGTGTCAAAAATTCATGCTGCAGTACAGTTTATCCCTCCATTCCAAGTTTCTAAGATCGCTACATGAGTGGGTGTCATTCTACAAACCGAGCTGTTGAATGAGTTATATGATGTAACAGCGATTACCGAAACATGGAATAGGAGAAAGCAATCTATCGAATTGTCAATATGAGGGCAGACGGAGTAAGACATAGGCTACTCTGACCTTATGGTACAACGCAGAAGTGCTACATCGAGTTAACCTAAGCAAGGGTTCGCGCGCGAATCCGCGACTCGGATATCTTCACTTCACTTGTAGAAGTGCGGATACTGCTTCAAGAAATCTCACTGAAAACCGGGGAGTGATCACTGGGAGCTCTTCCTGCATCTTCCAATCGTCACACTACCATTTCTAACCTACCGGGCGGACGTGGAGAACTAATCAGGTCCTTTTTGCCTTTTACGAGCCGTGACTGCAATGGTATGAGCACTGTTGAGAAGGGAGACACTAGATAAGAAAAGCTCTGGACTTCGAAGCAAAGGGAAAACCTGCTAGGGGGCGTCATAGAGGCTTGCTCACTGGAGATGCTGGGGCTCCAGGGATACAGTGGGGGGGCGGGGGGGGGGGGTAAACGGGCGCTGCGCCAGCCAGATTCCCACCAATTGCGATCGTCTGCTAGCTTTCAGATTGGTAGAGAACAGGCTGACGCCGCGTCAAACCTAGCCACCTTGAAACGCGCGAACGTACGCAGAACTAAACAAACGGCCTCAGAGGCATCTCCTCAAAAAGAGGCCATGGCAGGAGACGGCTTGGAGAGAAGGTAGCAACCCCTAGAAACAAGACCGGACCCCGCGATATCAGGTTTGCGCTATGGAGAGGTGATTTGAAGTTAAGTGGTAGTTTCACGGGTACTGTATACATGTTTATAATGGAATACAGGCTTCTTGTAGCGTAATATTAATTGTTACCCTGTAGAATGAACTATCTGTCAACGTCAACTGCGAGATGAAATACGAGAAGTAGTACGCAATGTGCCGATTGTGCTCAGTAGCTTCTCTCCTGCAGTAAAGTTAAGAGTTTTAGAAGTTAATAAATCGCGTTCAGTAGTACTATTTCATAATTCTGACTAGGTCTCACCTGTTGCAAAATTCAAACCTCTGGCACATTTTTTCAACAACCACGTCCAAAGGCTTATCTTCTACCATTGATAAAAGTCGCCTGAAAAGTTGACTTAGGAATTTTCAAGTGAACGCAACCGATCGCAAAACAACTAACTTACTTGACAAGATATTTGAAGGCAGGAAGGGGAACTTGCTCTTCCCAACGACAAATTCTGCAGATGAGATCAGGGAGGACATTCACCAGTAAGTTACCCTAAAGCATGTCTTAGGTCCTCTCAAACCAAATAAAAAAAGCGAATGTAGGTCAGCCTCCACTGATAAGATAAAGAAAAGGAAAATGCAATTCCAGTGAGAGTGGTTTGTTCCTTCCGAAGGATGAGTATTTTTTCACAACAGCAGCTAACAGATGCCTGTAGTTTTTACAGTTCAATAAAAAATCTGCTAGAGGAGGCCATCATGGCTACAGCTCGGAAAGGAAGTGCTTACTGGCTCAGTAATGAGCGTGGCGGTTGCTTTCATAGAACAGTAAGAGGAGCATCGAGTTTTTCCAGTACCTACCACAGTCTCTTGGGCAGTGCTCAGACTGCGCGTCAACGCGCTATAGCGCATGTTGACGCGCTACAGTGCAACCGCGCTGCTATAGACGAAAACGCGGCTATAGAGTGGCATGGATCGGCGCTGGCAGCTACCACTTTGAGAGAATATGGCAGAATAAGAGGGTGCCAGACTGCGCGATCAAGCGACGCGTACTCTCCCATCTCTCCATACCCTCTCTGAGCACTGGGGCCGGATGCTGGCTGACTGACACCGGTCTATATCTCGTCGTCACACGCGTTATCGTCTATAGCATTGGAATGCTGTTGAGATGGTAACGCGTGTAAGCGGAGTCTGATCACTGCATTAGGCATACGATGCTTCCATCTCTCTCTTAACCTACGACTGGTACTGATTGGTAGTCAGCCAGAAACTAATCTGTCGACTGCAGAGCAAGAAGGCGGAAGGGGGCATTTTGCACTTTCGAGGTTCCACTAGTTCCGTTTACAAGTCTCACTCTGGTGAAACTTGTGAACTCTTGTGAAGCTGGAGCAAGCTCGTCTAGCCACCATGGTAAATATGTTAGGTCAAGAAGGCTATCTAGATGGCGACCTATCGAAGGGAAGCAAAATGCCCCCCTCGCCGAACTGCGCCAAGAAAGATTGTCCCATAAAAACTTGAAAGGATGGACGGCCTCCATTGTCCCTCCTTTCAGGTTTATGGGACATCGATAACTTATAGAAACTTCTCGACATTACAAAGATAACGAAGATCACTAACCTTACGAGAAATCTCGCGGAACAGTTCCGTAGCCAACACAGAAACTTCTCTCTCATCATTTGTACACTCTTCATCCTTTCCATCTGATCGTTTCCTATTCAGCATACATAAAGCTGTATCTGACAGCGTACCTCTTGGCTGGAAGTAAACAATGAAGAAAACTGTTCGAATACGAAAAACAGGCTTTGGCCGGTTCAGGAGGGTTATTTTGAACTTTCGCTGGTTCTCTCTGCTAGTTCATGCTCATTAACACGTTATACTTTGGTGAGACCTGTAAGCTCCACTGAAGCTGCGAAATAGGGTAAGTGAGCTACTTTGGTTACTGGAATTTACACGTCTTCACATGTTGGCCTTTAGCTCCAGTAAACAACAATGCCCCCACCAAGCCGAAGTGTGCCAAAAAGAAACTAAAGGTTTACCTTCAGCACGTCATGAGTGAGTAGGTACGTGAGGTAGAGCAGTGAAGTGATTCGTACATTTGGATCGGCATCCATTGGCCTGGAATGGTTGATTAAAAACTGTCAATACGATAGCAAAGGTGATGAAACCTACATTTCAAAAAGGAACAGGGAGTGACTTTCAAGCATGGCAGGGAACCGATACATAACGTCCACACCCGCAGCCAGTAAATATTCCTTCATTTGTGGATCGGGGTGACAGCAAATGAAGGTGAAGAACGTAGGACTGGCTCTTTCCGTCACTTGAGGGCTGAAAAGAATTGTAATCAAAACGAAAAACCCCTTTTTAAATATGCTGGATTCATGCCGAAGTTAGGCGCAGTTCGGCTCGGTGGGGGCAACACATAGCATTCAGCTTAGCCTGTACAGAGCACCTTGTGAAGACGTGCACACTCTCGTAGCCAAACTGATTCATTCGAACCTTCTGCAGCTTCACAAGAGTTTACAGGTACCATGAAAATGAGACCTGTCATGCAATATGCCCTTTCCAAGCAGAACTGCGCCGAAGTTGATACGCGAGGTTTCTTTGGCTACAAATGCGCCGCGGAGATCGTTTAACGCTCTAAACTTGGAGATTACATCCGCCTGGAGATTACGGACATAGCGTTTGCTTTAAATGGCTGAGATTTTGTTGTAATCCTTCCAATGTGCAGAACGCGTACGACGAGGATGAATGGGTTTATTCTGAAGGCGATGAGCAATAACAGAATGAACCATACTCAATGACTGGTCTTATATACGGCCAGTATAGGATGTTGATCAGGGATACCAGTGATCTAGTATCACCCTCACAACACCTCCCTCCTAAGACAAACATTAGATGTGTATGTCTTCTTCTTCGGATTGATTTGCAATCGAACTGGCGGACGTCTTGACCGTTTCTGTCGATCGGTTGGAGCGGGCAGATCGGCATCTTGGATCGGCAGTTGGTCCCTGTTCGACACAGCATCGTCTTCTTGTGTGGGCTTCTTGGCGTTAAGACGTGGAGTGGAAGCAGCGGCAAATCGAATGCATCCATAAGCGATGTCGTATTTGCTGGGCAGGTACTGGGCCGCAGTTGATTGGCGTGTCTTCTCCAGAGTTGATCGTCGACTTGAACATCATATAGACACTGTCCATGTTGAAGTTTCACTCGGCCTTGTGTCCACCTCGGGTATCCAGCACGGTAGTCGCGAATCCAGACATAATCACCAGGCTTGAACCTTCTTGGCTTTGCTCCGTGATGAACGTTGAATTGAGTTTCCATCTTCTGATTTCTTCTCGGTTCTGACCTTGATTCCGACGGTTTCAGCAATGTGAGCGTAGAGCGTAAACGTCTTCCGAGAAAAACTTCGGCTGGTGACAATGCATGATGTTGGGCATGCGGTAGTTGAACAGGAACATTTGTAAAGCTTCTTGTGTCGTTCCTTCCCCTTTAAGTTTCTGAAGGGTCCGCTTGAATGTATCTACGAAGCGTTCAGCTTGGCCATTGGATTGTGGGTGAAATGGTGGTGAACGAACATGTTTGATTCCATTCTGCAAACAGAATTCCTTGAATTCTTTTGACGTGAATGATGTTCCGTTGTCAGTGACGAAAGTTCCGGGTAGCCAAACTGTGAGAATAACCGTTGGAGTTCCTTGATTGTTGAGCGAGTTGTCGTGGATGACATTTCAGTAATCTCTGGCCACTTCGAGTAGGCGTCCACGAGTACAAGGAACATTCTGCCATCAACTGGTCCTGCAAAGTCTGCATGAACGCGGTTCCATGGCTTCTCTTCTGTAGGCCACGAGGAAAGGGTAGTCTTGATGGGGTTCTTGGCCATTTGCTGGCAACGGATACAAGATCT